CAAGCCGAAATATACCCCTTGGAAGTCAAAACCCCATTCAACCCTCTTAAACACCCATGTACACCCCCTTCCCTGCCCTTTAAAACTCATGCAAACCACCTCTTCAAGGCACTCTGAACATTCAAATATAACGTCCGGGCGTTCTATTCAAATATAACACCCGGGCATTCTATTCGAAGCGGCATTCTATTTGAAAAAAAGGGAGTAAAAACAAAAATCTCATCTTTTTACGGTAAGTTGAACATAATGCCCAGGCATTATTTTCGGGTGAAGACGGTAGTTCTCTCTTGACAAGCTTGCAGGGCTCGTTCATAGGATCATGCACTCATATCATAGGAGCATTTAGGCAAAGAAGATGGGGAAATGTATTCATGATGGGGATTACGCAACAGCATAATGTACAGCAGATACGTACCCTTGCAGGGTTGGCCACAAATATTCGAGAGAGCAGTTGCTGGCATTCTGATGAGATATGTACTCCCTCAGGAATGGAGTACTGCACATTCATAATCCTCTGTCCATGTAAAATTCAAACAAACAATAAGTTGCACAAGCCAACAGAAGAATGCAAATCAGGATTTCACAGTCAAACAAAGAAACACCCCTGTATTGTCATGGAGGAATGTGAGGGAAAGAGCAGCGACTTCTGTCCGGACTCAGAGCAGATTTTGACAAGAAGCTGTCAGGCACACTGTGCAGACGAAAGAGCATGCTCGGTTCTTTGAAAACTGCATAGGTACCACTTTCTCCAGCCTGTAGGCAGACAGCTATGGCCTAGTAGGGCTGTGAGGGGATACTGCGCCATCACCACTACTGTAGTGATCCCTACTGTCCTGCCCCGAACAAAACGTACCTGCCTTGTATATGAATAGAACACACGGGGTGTGTTGTATTCGTATACAGTGCACGTGCATTATGCTACAGATATTGGGCACCAACTTTGGAAAATGGGTAGAGTGCACGGGGTGTGTTGTATTCATATACAGTGCATGTGCGTTATGCTACAGATATTGGGCACCAACTTCAGAAAAAGGGGCCCCAAAAGGATTTAAGTATCTGCCCTCACCTTTGAAAAGAGAAGGACTTGCCCTTTGGGGCATCTGTTAAAATAGGAACTTTATCCGTCGCGCTTGTGTTGATAGGCTGCATTGACAGGGGCAAGTGCAGCGCCTGAGTCGACCTGTGGAGTCGACTTGTGCCAACAAACAGCGTATGGTAGTTAATGACCACCTAACAGACATTGAGTATCATTTCCCGTACGCGGGAGGGGAACTGAGACATAAAATCTCGTTCCTAGTCAGCGACAATCTCCCTATGGATATCCTACTTGGTATGTACTACCTTTCAGTTGCACAGTCCCAGTTTGACTGGGACCGAAAGGTGGTCAAACACACGCTGCCTGGATATCCTACTTGGTATGTACTACCTTTTGGTTGCACAGCCCCAGTTTGACTGGGACCGAAAAGTGGTCAAACACATGCTGCCCGGAGGGGGGACCGCCAGATTACGTAAGGCTAGTAGTCTGATCGAGTCGTACGGGTGTATGCGTGCGGCCACGTTCTACAATTATTATAAGCAAAATCCAGAGGAGGGTATGTATGTCTCTGCAGAGGATGAGCTGGTGAAAATGCCTCCAGAGATAGAGGGAGTGGTCGCTAATTACACTGATTTATTCAAAGAGCCGAAGGGGGTTGTTGAGAGGGAGGTCGTCCATGCAATAGAGATTATCCTAGGGTCTAGTATTCCGAAGGGTAGGATCTTTCGGATGTCTCCAGCGGAGCTTGACGAGCTTCGCCAACAGCTAAGGATCTCATAGAGAAGGGTTGGATCCGTTCATGGCTGAGATCATACGCAGACTTGAGACAAAGGATAACGTCACCTCTTATGAGTTTGTGTTGGTCGACGACCTGCTGGGCCTCGAGAAGGCCGGGAATGAAAGTTTGTGTGTCTCACCGGACATTTTGGTTATAAGAAGACTGCAGTGAACCTGTTGCAGCAGCTCTGGTGGCCCACCATGATAAAAGACGCTGCTGTACGTGGCGACTTGTCAGGTGTGCCAGAGGGACAAGCCATGCACACAGGCCGCTCTTGGGCTACTCAAGCCCCTTCCGATTCCGAAAAGACCTGGTGAGAGCGTGTCCATGGATTTCATGGATACGCTTGTCACCAGCAAGAGTGGTATGAGATGTCTTTGTCATTGTGGATAGGTTTAGTAAGTATACTAGGTTAGTTGCGATGCCTGAAACAGCTAGAACCGAGTACGTTATTAGACTGTTTAAGGAAAACTGGGTCAGAGACTTTGGCCTGCCAAAGTCTATTGTTAATGACCAGGATCCATTTTTCATGAGTGAGTTGTGGAAGGCTGCAGCTGTTGAACAAGGGACCCAGCTGCAGATGACCTCCGGGAACCACCCAGAGGCAAATGGACAAGCAGAGCAGATGAACCGCGCTGTACAACACCTGCTGAGGCACTATATCAAGCCTAATCAGGTGGACTGGGATGATAAGCTTGCTCTCGTTGCCAGCTTGTACAATAACGCAGTGCACAGCGCTACAGGGGCGAGTCCCAACAGTCTGCTGCTAACTTTCAACCCTCGACTGCCTCTAGATTTCCTACTACCTGAGAACCAGACCATTGCCGCGCCTGGTGCACTGGAATTCGCTTACCGTTATGAGGGTCTTATGCAGCAAGCAGTGGTTAACGTGCACAAAGCACAGGCGGGGATGATAGAGTCAGAGAACAAACACCGCCATCCTTCTGCGTATCAGGTTGGGGATAGAGTCTGGGTAAAGGCATCCGAACTTGGGCAGGAGCACGGGATTTCCCGAAAGCTCATGCCACAATACTTCGGACCATGGGAGGTTCTAGACGTTGTGGGAGATGATCCCAAAGGGCCTTCCTATGTGATACAGATCCCTGGTCACCTTCCCACCTACCCTGTCTTTCACGCCTCCAAGCTTGCACCTTTCAAGGAAACTGATCAGTTTCACTCTCGTCCGTCTATGCTGCCCCCAACCATGGATGGAGAAGTCGACATCGACAGCATTGTGGATCATAAGGAAATGCCGATGCCAAGACCAACTGGCAAAGGCGGACCTCCGAAACCGAAGTAGCAGTTTTGTGTAGACTTCAGACATCGCATGGATCCGAAGGAGGACAGATGGTTTACGAGAGAGGAATTGATGCAGACCGCCCCTCAGATTGTCAGTCATTATGAGAAGTCATTGCAGAAAGGCAAGCGCCAGATTGATTGAACTTCTCAAAGGACTATCGAAGCATGGAGGAGGGAGGCCCCAGGCCTCGGTGAGCCCTACCGGGGCCTCGTTTCCAGCATGCATGGCAGCCCTAAGTGAAGGCGGGCCTGACCGGCTACGAGAGGCCTATTTTTGTGTTTGACGCAACTAGGGGGAAATTCAGACAGTTATGCAGCGTCAGTTGGTTGAGCGAGCCCAGGCCCTATCTACCGACATTACGGGCCGTCTGGCCTTTTTCCGAATGAATCGGAGGCAGGCCCTGGGGCAAACACGGGGTACGAACTGAACACGGCATGGCAGTTGGACATGGGTAACCACCCCATGCCCTGAGGGAGATTCCCTGGGACAGAAGGCTCAGCCACTTGGGGCCTACCGGAAGCTTTCGGCATGGCAGTTGGACATGGGTAACCACCCCATGCCAGCCAGGCAGGCCAAGATTGGCAGCCACTTTCCATAAAGGACAGCCTGGCCGCTGGCTGGTCATTCGGACACTCGCTGTTCTTGCGCAAGCGCTGCTGCGCCAGCCGCTGAGGCGAGAGTCCATGCGCGGTCACGGGCAAGCAGGGAAGAAGCGGGCAGTCAATAGCCAGGCTGGCCTGCACGTTGCTGGATGAGGCGCATGGTGGTCTTCGGGCGCATGTGGCATCTGTGTCGAGGATCGGGGTTGTGAGTGAAGCGAGAGACATACCTGGTGTTTGATGCGAGCGGCATTGGCCAAGATCTGCTCGTACTTCGGGAAGCTGTTGACGTCACCAGCGGCATTGACGAGCCGATTCCAACATTGTCATTTGTAATTGCTGTGCTCTTATTTGGTGTAACTTGAGTTGCAATTCAGCTTTTGGGTCGAGGTCTTTTGGTTCGAGGTCAAGACTATCTTGTTTCATGTGTATGATGCAGCTTGGTTTCTGAATTTCGCTGTCACTCATTTTCCTTGCACAGAGAAGATTTTGAAGAGAAGCTGTCAGGCACACCGTGCAGATGAAGAGCATGCTAGGTTCTGTGAAAACTGCATAGGTACCACTTTCTCCAGCCTGTAGGCAGACAGCTATGACCTAGTAGGGCTGTGAGGAGATACTGCGCTATCACCACCACTCTAGTGATCCCTACTGTCTTCCCCCGAACAAAACGTACGTGCCTTGTATATGAATAGAACGCACGGGGTGTGTTGTATTCATATACAGCGCATATGCGTTATGCTAAGGATATTGGGCACCAACTTCGGAAAAAGGGGCCCAAAAGAATTGAAGTATATGCCCTCACCTTTGAAAAGACAAGGGCTTGTCCTTTGGGGCATCTGTTAAAATAGGAACGACACGCATGAAGCAAGAAATGGTCCACAAAAAAAAAAAAAAAAAAAAAAAAGAACACACACACAAGGACCCGATACGGGGGCCCTCTCTCCACTACTCGTCAAATGCGCAAACTGTGAACAAATCGTACGCTAGAAAATCGAAAGTACACATCGCCACATTTTTTTTCAACTCTGCATGTCGTGAGGAATGTGTCCTTACGGGGCGCTAGACAACATGCATACGTTTTGACTGTGGCCCCCAGCAAGCCTCGTGCCCGCCCTAAGTGACGGCGGGCCTGAATATTCACGAGAGGCCCTTGTCTCAGCATTTTTCAATGTGGGTCTCAGACAGTTGCTGCACGCAAGTTGGTTGCAGTGCGACCTGGGCCTCACCCTGGGCTCTTCCAGAAGCAGCAGCTGCGCCAGGCAGTTGAGCCCAGGACGTCGGTGGTTGCGCCTTCGGCACACGCAGAGTGAGGCCGACACATCACGAAGTGGCCACAGTCCAACGAGAATGCAGCATTGTCCTCACACCTACCCCGCGGGCCACTGCAAACACAGCAAACATTCGGAGCCTGGGAAATCCTGGGTGTGCCCAACTGCAAACGGCCCAGGCCCTCAACTGTAGACTTGGCCCTGGGCGCAGACACTGGGGCCCAACCAGAAGCTACTGGAAACTTCCATGGCCACGCCCAGACAGTGCAGCAGCAGCTGTGACTCCCATATAGAGTGGAGGACAGCCAGTGTTCGCCATTCTGGCCAACGCAGGCAATGTGGAGGCGCTGCTGCGAGACAGCACGAGTGTCTGCATGTGGCAGTGCTGGCTGGGGCGAAGGCGGGGGTGCTGAGCGGTGTGGGGCACTGCAGGGCAACGAGGCGCCAACCGGGGCGCGGGCAGGTGGAGGCGACGGTGGTCTTCACGGAGGCGGCGCAGGTGTGGGTGGACAAGGGTGATGAGGGGAGTCAAG